AACCTGTTCCATCGGAATTCCTATGCAGCTCTGAACTGGCCATGGCTGCGGCAGCAGCTCATAAGCCGACGGCTCTTCTAATGGTCTCTTCTGGTCTCTTCCAGCTCCGATTCCCTCAAAACCCGGCCCATTCGAACGATAATGGTGCCAGGGTGTGAGGGGAACGCCACGGTCTCCGATGGACACCGCGCTGGACACTGGACGAGCGTAGCACCTTTCCCAGGAAGATCACATTTAGAATGCATTACGGCGGCCACCGCGAAAATTTGAACGGAATTTAGTTTTATTTATCACCTCAGGCTATGTTTTTAAACTCAGCCCATCTCCGACCAAATAGGCTTATGTCTTATATAGCGGGCTTGTTCTGGCAAAGCTTTACTTTTCAGCAACACCATCCGCATCAAAGAGCGGTATAGGCAACCAAGCTAATGATAAAATGGAGACTCATCGGGGCTCAGAAAAAAATGAACGTTATGCATTAATCAGCCAATATTGACACCGCGCTGTGACAGTTCCTGAATCGTCACCTCTGGCACATGCATTGCACCTACATGCTTTCTTAATTCTTCGCAAACCTAGGTATTCCCTATAGGCAATGGGGCGACGGAGGGAAAAGTTATGCCGTTCATGTTCACTCATCACTGTGCACCATTATCACTATGAGCAGTTGTGAAATATCCCTAAAAAGGGACATTTATTGACGTAATAATATCGAGAAGAAACGGCCAGCACGGATTCACTCAAGATTCCAGCTGTCGTTTACTATCAGTTCCTGTATTGCTAGTCGGCACTCCTAGTGCTAGTAGTGGTGTCTGAGGCAGATGTTTGTGTGTGTGTGTTTGCCGCTCACCCTCCTGATGAAGACATCCCGTCACGGCGCATAACCTTGGATCGCGCACATCGCCCGCGGCGGTGTCCGCCTCGTCCGGCCGATTGGCGGCCGGCGCGGCGTGCCCGGTTCGTCACGGTAAACCGTAATCGAGCTCGGCCCCACGCGCCTCGGCGCACCTCGCGAGGGTGGGTCGACCCCACACAGCTCAGGAGGCCAGGGGAAGGCACGGGGACGGGCCGACGTGTGCGGTCAGAGGATAATGGGGAGCAGTGTCCGCCGGATTGGGGCTGAGCGGGGGCCGGAGTTCATTCACTCACAGAAAGACTTGGGGTAGAACAGATTGTCAAGTTTTACTCCTGTTGCCCTTCGACACGTAAAGCAACTTTTTTCAACCAGCGCCTGCCACACTACATGCAATCGCTATCGTTTCAACATTAGAAGTCGCTATGTCCCTTTTTAATACTGTCGGGTTAGCTTGGCCGACAACTGTTTCCCGTGTCTCAGAGCTCTGCGTTCCCCTGGCTACATTCGCTCCCTATTTGGTTAGCTCTCCCTCCGTCTCATTGTTTGCTGTTGTCATGATGAGATCAAATATTAAATATACAGCCTGGCGCCGTCCTATTTGTTGACGCTGTCGCGCGGGGATGCGGGGATGAAAATAATCATCGCTGAGCTGAAACAAGGCTGAACAATGTAGACTAAATTTTCAAGTATTTAATTATTAAACATTTTAATGGTTTGTTATGTATGCCAAAGTGCAACAGTTAGATGTTGCTGGTATCTGCTTTTTATTAAACAGCATGCGTATTGAAATAAACGTGTTTAAGCCGAGCTGATCACAATTCGTGCATGATCTGCACGTATAATCACTTCAAATATCTTACATATACCTATTCTCTGCCAGCTGCAGCTCAAACAGTCCGAATGACATTTTCTTCAATTTTCATTCCCGTAACAAAGTAGATGTCATCGTCTTTATGACAACAGGTGCTCGATAAAATCTGCTATTGATTATCAGCCGATACGTATAGGTCTGTGCGTGTGTCGGCTTCCGTGTGATGGATGGCCAATGAATCACTCATCAATCACGATGAGTGTGACTGCACCGCGGTCACACTCCGGCCAGTCCGCTCCAGCCACTCCGCTCTCATATTCCCTGCCGTGTGGGATCTGAGCAGATGGTCGCGTGGTGACGGTGCTACCTGACCCCGATCGCCGAGACGGACAGGCGCGCAGCTCCCAGAGATCGCGAATGAACGATCGACCTGCCGGGGCGGCGCAGACGCGGCGGGCGGTGCCCGGTCCTCAGCAGCTAATCCGCTGGTAATGCGACCGGGCAGCACACTAATCCGATTACGCTGTGCAGCATTGGCGGTAATTAAAACATATTTCAAAGCCGATAGCAATCAGAGACGGCATACCGGACCAACATTAGCAGCGCTTGGATCAATTGCGTGCTGATCGCGGGGGCTCGGCTCTGGCGGACTGTGATTGACCGGGCTGCAACAGTGAGGCGTTCATCACTCCAGGGCAGGATGAGGAACGTCAGTTCAGGTCATCAGAGTGCTGGGGTCAGTCACCAGTCAAGTCAAGGCTTCTGACTAAGAAAAAAATGAGAGCGCGCATGCAGGCGCAGCTACGCTTAAAACCTTTTGTTTGGCTATTCTGTTTACGGATGTTCTGTCAGCATTGTCTATAGCTCCTGCTTTTTTTTTTACTAATGCGTGATTGATGCATGCAACCGATGTCTCGCGTCCGAACAGGCAGCATTGGTCACACCATGCTGTTTTCAGTAATCCATTCAGGAACTTCTGTATTCTTTTTCTTTTACCATCGAACATGGCAGCGACCCTCGTATCATCGTCTGGCAGGCGGTCGTGTCAGCAGTGTTGCAGCGATATGGAATATGTAGGCGCGTTACCCTGTTTCATGGCAGCTCGACACTGCGTCTCGGAGAATTGAGCTCCCAGCTCGAAGCGCCCAGCTGGTCACTGATCAGCCTATCCGCTCCGCTAGTCATACGCATCTGACCAAACGGCCTCGCCTCTGCCTATATGTTTTAGCGGACGCTGAGAGCTGCTGCTGTTTCGGTTAGCGATCTCCTATCGGGGTTGTGCCCGTCCGGCTCCCTGCGATGTCTGGAGGCTCATCTGCCGGCTCCCGCGGCGTGGCACAATGCTCTCCGGCTGTGCTTCAATGGCGGTCCTCTACACTGAAAACTTTTTTACACCTTCCTCGGGTGTAAACACCTCAGGAGGGTGTAGCTGAAATTCTGCGTTTTTTGCCCTCGTCTGAGGTGTAATATTTACACTCAAATAAAGTGTAACAAGACACTCGCCCGGGGCGTTGACTTTGCACGTTTACACTCTCCAGGCGGATGAAAAAGGCGGGTACACTCGTGATTGACCTTTTACTGTAGTGTTACACCTAGAGCAGAGCACGCCTTCCGAGTGTATATATCGATCCGATTTCGGGTGTTGTTGATTCCAGATCCCCTTCCCCTTTCTTCCCCCCTTTCCCCTGCATCGGTTGCGCTCACGCTCTTTACAAAGAATAAACACCAGTATAATGTCAGAATATTTTAACATTTATTGGACGTTGATCCGTGCAACAAGTACATGAAACGGCGAGTCCTCTGCAGATATGAACCGGGGCTAGGCGTTCGAGTCCAGCGCCTTCGAGCGCGCTCGAAAAAGATAGCGATGTTCGTGATGGACAGCTCGTCCTGCATGTTCGCCATTGTTTGGAATTTGGCGATCTTCTCCCTTTCGACCCAAAGTGCGCCATCTGCGATGGTGGACGGTCCGTTCGTTGTCGCAGGGCCAAAAACGACCTGCTCCTCACGCATCTCGTAGAAGGTGTTCGAGTTCCTCCTCTGAAGCACACATGGGAAGCGAAATTACTCATACTTGCCGCTGCCAGAAAGTTTAACCCGCGCCCGGGTGGGCCTCTCAGCCAACTTTGCCATGGGGGGAGGGGAGCACACCAGATTATCTATAGAAAGTATAGCTAAGACGCAGACAAAAGCAACAGATAGCTCGTTATAGATCGTTCAGAATCATTCAGGTCATTTTTTGAACAGGTTATTGCTGAGGTCACTGAAGGTCTCCAAACGTAAAAATTTCACGAAGTTCTAGTATTAAACAAGGATGAAACAAAAACCAATAATCCTATAGTGCCATAAATATCATCAAGAGAAGCAGAGTAGAGCCAGCACCGCGGCGCGCCTCATTTTTCCCATCCCTGCATTACAAATTAGCTTTGGAAATCACGCACGACCTAATTTTTCGAGAAAAAGTATAATCTCGAAAATGCTGTCACCTACTTACCCGTTCCGGAGCAGGTGGGTCTTCCTCAATGCTCAATAGTCACACCAGCTCAGCACACTAACAACCACGTTCGTTGAAGCACAATGGCGCACTGAAAGCCGCGTGGGTGCGAGCGGCGTCGCGCGCATGCGCCTTTGTCGTCCGGTACATTACACTTCAGAGCAGTGTTGAGCCAAAACAAAAATGCGGCAATCGCAGATCAAGGATCCTTTGTCAATAACACAGCACACATGAAGCGCGATCATCTACTCTACAGGAAGGTGTTATTCGTAAATGAACAAAAGTTAGGTGTTAAAGTTCAGAATTGCACTTCCATAAGGTGTTGTATGAGTGTGATTTGCACACCAACGAGGTGTAATTTCGCTTTGATCAGTTTCTAAGCGTAATTGCCGTGTTATAGACCTGCGTATAGTGCTCAGTCTGCTATTTACACCTTTAGGTGGTGTTAATACGGCGATGTGAGTGTAAAAATGCTTTCAGTGTACACTGAAAACTTTTTTACACCTTTCCTGGGTGTAAACACCCGAGGAGGGTGTAGCTGAAATTCTGCGTTTTTTACCCTCGTCTGAGGTGTAATGTTTACACTCAAATAAAGTGTAACAAGACACTCGCCCGGGGCGTTGACTTTGCACGTTTACACTCTCCAGGCGGTTGAAAAAGGCGGGTACACTCGTGATTGACCTTTTACTGTAGTGTTACACCTAGAGTAGAGCACGCCTTCCGAGTGTATATATCGATCCGATTTCGGGTGTTGTTGATTCCAGATCCCCTTCCCCTTTCCTCCCCCTTTCCCCTGCACCGGTCGCGCTCACGCTCTTTACGAAGAATAAACACCAGTATAATGTCAGAATATTTTAACGTTTATTGGACGTCGATCGGTGAAACAAGTACATGAAACGGCGAGTCCGATATGAACCGGGGCTAGGCGTTCGAGTCCAGCGCCTTCGAGCGCGCTCGAAGAAGATAGCGATGTTCGTGATGTACAGCTCGTCCTGCATGTTCGCCATTTTGTTTGGAATTCGGCGATCTTCCCCCTTTCGACCCAAAGTGCGCCATCTGCGATGGTGGACGGTCCGTTCGTTGTCGCAGGGCCAAAAACGACCTGCTCCTCACGCATCTCGAGTAGAAGGTGTTTGAGTTCCTTCTCTGAAACACACATGGGAAGCGAAATGACTCATACTAGGCCGCTGCCAGAAACTTTAACCCGCGCCCGGGTGGGGCTCTCAGCCAACTTCGCCATATAGGGGGAGGGGGGCACACCAGGTTATCTAAGAAAGTATAGCTAAGACGCAGACCAAAGCAATAGATAGCTCGTTATAGATCGTTCAGAATCATTCAGGTCATTTTTTGATCAAGTCATTGCTCAGGTCACTGGAGGTCTCAAAACGTAAAAATTTCACAAAGTTCTAGTATTAAACAAGGATGAAACAAAAACCAATCATCCTAGTGCGATAGATATCATCAAGAGAAGCAGAGCAGAGCCAGCACCACGGCGTGCCTCATTTTTCCCATCCCTGCATTACAAATTAGCTTTGGAAATCACGCACGTCCTAATTTTTTTCGAGAAAAAGTATAATTTCGAAAATGCTGTCATCTACTTACCCGTTCTGGAGCAGGTGGGTCTTCAAATTTGCTCAATAGTCACACCAGCTCAGCACACTAACAACCACGTTCGTTGAAGCACAATGGCGGACTGAAAGCCGCGTGGGTGCGAGCGGCGTCACGCGCATGCGCCTTTGCCGTCCGGTACATTACACTTCAGAGCAGTGTTGAGCCAAGACAAAAATGCGGCAATTGCAGATCAAGGATCCTTTGTCAATAACACAGCACACATGAAGCGCGATCATCTACACTACAGGAAGGTGTTATTCGTAAATGAACAAAAGCTAGGTGTTAAAGTTCAGAATTGCACTTCCATAAGGTGTTGTATGGGTGTGATTTGCACACCAACGAGGTGTAATTTCGCTTTGATCAGTTTCTAAGCGTAATTGCCGTGTTATAGACCTGCGTATAGTGCTCAGCCTGCTATTTACACCTTTCGGTGGTGTTAATACGGCGATATGAGTGTAAAAATGCTTTCAGTGATGGAGAGGGGAGTCTCCTGGTCGCAGGTGCATTACCAGAGGTGTTGATTTCCTCGGCTGTGCGCCGGCAGACGGCCGAGACCGATGAGGCGGGCCCAGATGGACGAGCTGATACCTGCCGAGGTGTCATATTGTTCTGGACGCTGCGCCACCCAGAGGTCTACCGCCCGGGTCCGGACACCTGCGGCGGAACAAACGGCACGTCCCTAAGGCTGGTCGTGTGGGCGCTGCAGAAACGCTTTGATGTAACGGCTAGCAATGGTGCGTGCATTGCATTAGTAGGTTCGGCGGAACGTGGGATAACTGATATTGCTGAGCACAAAACAATTACTGATCTATGGGTCCGTTTACTGATTTATGGGAGCGAATGATATCGGCAAAATATTCCACCGATGTCACGTTTTCCAAGTGGCTATGGTAACGATAATAGTGGTGAGGCGTCAATATGGTAACGACCTGTGGGTTTCTCTCGCCCGTCTCCTGACCTTACCCAACTACTGAGGTAACACGGAACCACGTCGGAACGCCAGACAGTATACCACGGGGCAGCTGACGTCACGTCAAAGGGCGGTAAGTGTTTGTAAACAGAGCTGTGCGGGCGCGGCAGACATGGTACGCCCCCGTGTATGTGGATGTGTTGTCCCGGTCAACATTGTCGGTCGGACCACTGTGACCCCGCCCCGCTGCCCCTCACCCGTCCTGTGGCGGCTGTTTTGTCGGGTCGCTCACCGGGGTTGAGATCGGCACTGAGCGCGACAAACAGCCGAGTGGGTTTGCGCTTCACTGACCCGACTGGTGGTCGCAGGTGGCTGCCGGCTGGGGTCAAACGATCCATTTACAGCTGGCTGGCCAGCAGCCCTGTTTGCCGAGCTACTTACAGCCGTCGTGACAGTGCCACGGTCCGATTAGCCGCGGAAGACGGGCGGCGAGGAGCGCGGAGGACAGCGGAGACGGCGGCTTGCGAAACATGGACGGAATGTGTCGGCCACTCGAGAGTTGCGAGACGGCCATCCGCGCAGCCGTCGGCACGCGTTAACGACACAAAGCGGGCTCAAACGAGGCGATGTCGGATGACACGCTAGCGCCTGTCGTTCACAAGTACTTACCAGAATTGGGTAAAGAGTGCCGGCTTCGAAGATGGGGCTTGAACACAATTCCAGCAGACTTTGAAATGCCGATCACACTTCAGAGGCACACGTGTCAAAACTCGTTTTTGCAAAACATGCAAAAAACATGATTTGCCTATAATGCTACAACCCACAGAAGCGATACTAAATAAGTTTCGTTTAATTTGATCGTCTGCGGTTTTCGGTCAATGTGGAGCATATACAGGTGTAGGTGCTGAGTGCTGACACATTAAAGGTTGGCGCCATTTAACAAGTTTTGTCTACAGGTGGCCAAGTATGTTTTGAATGCTATATGCGCCAAACCGACGTCCGACATGGCCCACACAGTCGGGTTATTTTGGTGCATGAACGAACAGGTCGTTCGAGGAACACAACCCCATTCCTCCGTTCTCTCGCGTGTCTCCGAGTCCAGTCACGGTCTGAATCAGACCAACAAGAGGCCTCGCTCTTCATGTCACCAGGAGAGCCGTGTGTTTGTGGTTCTCACGCGCCCTGCACCCCGCTCGAGAGGCAGCTCGCTCAGCGTTCGCCCTCCAGAGGGGGCGGTAAATGGCATGGCGTTTGCGTTGTACTCGGTTTCCAGTTGTGATTCGGCCGAGCGACGGTGCCTCTGACGAGTCAGCGGACGCGGCAAATTCCGAAGGGAAAGGGGTGGTGACCTGGCGCGTTACCACGCGCCTGAGATGGAAGGGTGCATTAACCTTTCGGCTGCCATGGCCTCTTGGGGGACGGGACCTCGTTTCTCCCCCATTGCTGTCCCGTTAATACCTATAAACCAGTATAACGCCTTTTGGGGCGACTAACGGAGCGAGCGAGAGGGTGGGCCTTGCACGTGCGAAATTGCGAGGGGGTACCTCCAACTGACTTGTGCACGGCACCCTACTAACTGGTCTCTAGCGATGTGCCAAATTTGGGCACAATCGGCCCAGCCGTTCTCGAGATCTGGAAGCGGCACCCTGCACGTGCGCACGTGCAAAATGGGTCCCAACTGACTTGTGCACGGCACCCTACTAACCGGTCCCTAACCGTGTACCAAATTTGAGCGCAATCGGTCCAGCCGTTCTCGAGATCTGGAAACGACCCCTGCACGTGCGCACGTGCAGCAGCACCCCAACTCTGGCACATGTATATGCAGTGCCTAGTGAGTGCCTACCTACATGCCAACTTTCAGCGCAATCGGCCAAGTAGTTACCGAGATATTGCAACAATTACAAAAGTGACACCTCTTCGTTTTGCACGTGGCACGTGCATAAGGGGTCACCCACATGCATCGGGAATAGTCCAATACTTGGTAGAAGGAATGAAGCTACCCTACAAAAATTACCGCGTGTAAATCGGTCAAGTGGTTGCTGAGATATAAGCCTCGCAAAAGCGTGACCACGGCCGGCCGGCCGGCCGGCCGGCCGGCCGCTCATACTCAGAAATTTCCGTTAATCTAAGGAAAGACTACGCTCGCTTCGCTCGCTCCGTAACAATGTAAGACATGACATTATAGGAAAGAATCGGTGTCAAGCTAAGCAATGCCATATATGCAAGGCCATATAAGAAATTAAGTCAAACGATCTTTGTCCAATTCCATTGGCTCTCAAGCCGCGTGGTGAAGTTCAGCGAGCTTCCTTATCCGGGGAAAATTTACTTTAACCCTCGCCGGCACAGGGGGGGGGGGGGGTTGATGCAACCCCCCCTAAGGTTTTTCGCGAAAAACTCGCGTAAAAAGCGGCCGATCGCGACGAAACTTTCAGTACCCTCGCATTGATCAAGTTGACACGTCCCCTGAAAATTTCATGACCCTGACCCCAATGACCTTTGACCTGCGACCTCTTTTCCGTGACCATGTTTGGCCGAAATCGCGATTCGGCGTATGTTGGCTCGCATTAGCCGCGCGTTTGCAAGCTTTTCGTGGTTTCAAACGTTCAAACATGTAATTTGATGTTGCTCCCATACATTAGGGTGGGTGTCAAGGTCACCTGAGGGTCAGGTCAGGTCATTGACCTTTGGTGACCTCGGGTGACCTCGGTTCACTTTTTCGAGTTTTACGTGTTTCCAGGCTAGTTTTTGGAGCTGAATTCGAATTTACCAACCATTTGAACATTTACGAAGTATTTTTGGTGGCTTCGTAACATGTTACGAAGCTGTCAGAGGCGGTTGACACGTATTACGAATACCCGTCACAACCCCTACCGGTTGACCTGACCTGACTTGACCCGACCTGGTCTAAATGCTTAAAAACATCATCTCTGATCAAAACTAACACGATATTCGTGATCAGCACCCCGGAAAACCGCATAGCAGCCACACTTTACGACTTTCTAACAGGTCCCGATTTTCCCGGTTTTCGGGTCATTGACCTGACCTGGAAGGTCACCCGATGACCTAGGACCTTAAAATTGGGTATCATCGGCTTCGTCTCGTGACGGGCAACACGCTCGTTCTTTCCGTGAAGCCCTAGCTCGATCAGGGGCCAAACGCGAGGGGGGTCGTACCAACCAACCCCCCCCCCCCCCGTTGTGCCGTCGAAGGACGCAAAATGGCCTGTACCGGCGAGGGTTAAAAAAGGTGTTACTGCTGAACTATTGTATCTTTCTGAGGCGCAAGATGCGATAAATAAAATTAAATGCGTGCGTAATGCGTAACTTTGGCAAGTTCAAAGGTAACAGTTCGTGGTAAGTAGCTATAATCTCATGAATTATTTAAAAAGTCATGTGATGTCCGGAGTCGTGTGAATTCAAAAACATCTGCCTGATTTTTTAGCGACTGCCTCTGTACAGGGCTGTAGCCAGCCTCTTGCGTCGTCGTCTGCGCGGTTGCCTTTATCCCTTCTAAATTGCCGCTTCACCATTAGTGCGTATGACGCAGTGGTATCGTGCATTGCTAGGAAACAAAGACTGTTTTCGTTCCCTTGCCACATTTGTTCCACATTTAGCGTCGCGTGCTCCCGTACTGTGAGGTGTTCAGTTATATGTACCGTCCAAAAACGTTGCCCGTATGACGCATCGTCTTCGAGGAACCACACTCGCGAGGCCCTCAGGCACGAACCAATGTTTGTTTTGGAGCAATCAGGTCGCTTTGAAAAAGTGAACATGTGACAAAGACGAATCATTTATCATCCGGGTCTCTCAAATGTGTTCAATGGATTCTGATGGATTGATGGAAAGCTTTCTGCAGTTTGAGAGCTCATGAGTTCTTCCTCGCACGGCGTGCTTCCGCATTCACGAAGTATCGGGTGCTTCCAGTTCACATTTATGACAAGCCCCTCGTCCCCCTGCAAACGTCATCGGGTACGCATGGTTTCTCTATTCAAACTGGAACGGGCTACCGTACAGGGCTTTGTACATATCACAGATAGAACAAAATACACGTAGACGCCCATGAAACGACAGTGCGACGCTGATGAGATGGGCACGGGTTATTGCGGAGCGACACAGACTGTTGCCCGGAGACACCCTCTCCTCCGAGCGGCCCACAGTAATGGCAAGCGATATGGTACAAACACAGCTTGACCCGCCTTAGGCGAGTTTCTCCACGGGCACCAGGCCGGTGTGTGGTCGCAGAGGGCGACCGTTCGGCGCGGCGCCCAGCGTGGCCGCGAACGTGCCCCCGCCGGCAGGGATACCGTAGTAGATGTCGGCGTCAGAGGCGGCAGGCGGCCGGCGGCGCCGCTGACACGGCTCTGTGCGTGGTGCCGAACCGCGCTCGCGCGGGTTATTGTCGTATGAAGATTCTCCATCGCTGCACGAGCACTCGACGCAGTGCGCGCCGCACTGGCCTCGCGAGGGCGGCGCGCGGAGCCGCTCAGACGCCGGCGGCGGGTGCGTTGGCGGCGGCGGCAGAATGTCGGCCAGACTCGGCCGGTTCGACACCTTGGCG